GCGGATAAAGAACGCACTACGACTGGGCGAATTTCGAGACTGGCCAAAAGCAATCACAGCCCGCTCCCAATATCCCGCTTGCAGTGCCCCTCCACCAGCACAGTACACAATGTATCTGTACATTATCGCACTTGCATTACCTAACCGTAAAGTGGGGCTATTTGAGACAGTGGGGCTATTTGAGACAGTATTTAAAATCGCTATAAAATGAAGATCGTTTGATTTTTGTGTGATATTTTTGATCAGGGAGGTGTGGAATCGAGCAGTAAATGGCCTGAGCAAAAAATTCAGCATAAATTTTAAGTGGTTTTTATTTTATAGCAATTTTAAATACTGTCTCAAATAGCCCCACTGTCTCAAATAGCCCCACCTTACGGTATATACTATTTCGCTTGCAATGTGCCCTTTCCGATCAAAGCGTGTGCCCTATGCCACCTTTGGGACGCAGTGGAAAATCCTAAAAATATGCCCTGAAATCATGTTTGACGCGGAAGCTTATTACGCGTTGACCAATCATATCGCGTAGTTCAAACCTACGCATACTGCATTGGCTGTAAGCAGCATGCTGATTGGCTGACGATGACGTGGCTGCATTCCTGTGCAAGGCACACATTCCTCTGCAAGGCACTCTTTTCGGAACGAGAAATGGAATATCTTCGTCTAGGGTGATCATTGAGCCGTAAAAGCTCCTGATTTGTGCTAGTCTCAGCTCAAGCTACGAAACTGCTATTCCAGTTCAAAACCCCATGTTAAAAGTGAACTATTTCCTTTAACGATCCCAGTACAATAGGCGGAACTATGGTCAAGCGTGCCCATTTTCGGGAACGCATTTTCGTTCCCATGTTTGGGAACGATAAACCCAAGGCCTTGGGCGTAACACTTACTGGCTGACCTGACCAGACCTGACTCGACCTATGCCAAATGCTAAAAATGTTAAAAAGGACTCAGGTTCGGCGCAAAATTTTGTGCTAGTTAGCATTGAGGCTGGAGGTTTGTATTTTCGATTTTTTTTAATCGTCTAGTAGGGCAATGTGAGGGGGCAACAAACTAATATAAAAACATGGGTCGATTTCTGGCGCTGGGGGGTATTTGTCCCAAAAGCCCCCTCCTCCTGAGCCCAATCTTACCAATGCCGTAAATAGGATTTGGCAGCACTGACCGGAGTTTACGGTACTGATATAAAAATATCCTTTTTTATTTACATCCAGGCATCTTGTCCAATGATTTTGGTAGCGTTAAAGGAAAAGGGCCACCTTCGTGAAATATGAAGATGTCGTTGTTTTTCATTTTGACATTATTATTTTTCATTTTCTTTTTAAAACTGGTGCCAGAAGTGCACAATTCGCGAAAAAGTATTTAAAACTATTTAACATATTGGTACTATGTTGATAGGGTAGACCGGGGCAAGTCGCCCCGCCGAGGTAAAACGCCTCACCGATGTTTCTCGGAACTGGCAAGGTTCTGGGGAAACATCCTCTCTTCTATAAAACGTGCACTATATGATCATTATATGAGCAAACTGGAAAGAAATTGTGATAACTCTTTAGGGAGATATAGCCAAAAATTTGTTTTTGGAGTGATTTTTATGTTTTGCAGTCAGATTATGCATCATGGCGTTCTTTTATTGTCGACACCAGGTTAACGACTTTAATGTATTTTGAACAACTAGTGTCTAACGCTTATAATAATGGGTTGGTCCGTTTTAAATTATCTCTTGCTGGAGTGCAAGGCGTTGTTCTCTGACCGAACTACGTGATGGGGTAAAACGCCCCAGTAGGTCGCGGGGCAAAAAGCCCCATGGGGCGTTTTACCTCATGTGTTGTTCCGAATACCCACTTCCTAATGTTCGGTAACTGGCGAACAGTAAGTTTCTATGCAATTTTATGTGCTTTTCTCAGCAAATTAATGGCAAAGGAAGTATTTTGTTAACATTTGCATTGCAATAATTTATTATTTGGCCTTATGAGCCAGGTGAAAAACCTGTACATACAATAGTGTCATAGCTGAACACCTGACAGGATGGAAGGTGCTAACTTCAGAGCCGTGCCTCCAGAGGTCTAACGGGCCTCCCATATAAGATTTAGTCAACTAGCATGTTTAATCTTTAATCTAGAGTATGGGGCTTCTTGCCCCAGGCCGTGGGGCGTTTTGCCCTGGGGTTGGGGCAAAATGCCCCATTTGCAGTTGCTTCACAAATCACTTCCTAGCTGGGAGTTCGATCATAAGTGAATGAATTTGACGGGTGGAATTTAAAGTAAAATGTCCAAAGAACGCATTGAGCACAAATTTGGCCTTCCAGGTGATGTGGGACAAAAGTTATGTAGCAAAATAAATTATCTGGGGCGTCTTGCCCCAGGCTACCCTACTCTCTACGGCACCTACTGTATGATGGCATAGCGATGACGTCACACTCAAGCCAATCAGCGTTCACAAGACAGACGTGAAGATATCGTTGTTTTTCATTTTGACATTATTATTTTTCATTTTCTTTTTAAAACTGGTGCCAGAAGTGCACAATTCGCGAAAAAGTATTTAAAACTATTTAACATATTGGTACAATGTTGATACTCTCTAAGGCACCTACTGTATGATGGCATAGCGATGACGTCACACTCAAGCCAATCAGCGTTCAGAAGACAGACTCGTCGGATTGTGTCAGATAAGCTGATTGGTTAAAGCTGAGCTGGTTGGAGCTGATTGGTAAAAAACCAAAGCCTCGCCGCGGGTGGCTGTATTGTCGGATAAGAACGCATTCCTGGGATAAGGACGCATTCCTGGTGTATTTTCTTTTAAAATTGCCGATAACTACGAATGGAGGCCGAAATCGGCCGTAAGGAGGTAGACGGATGGGTTTTCGGACACGGGCTACAAGATGGCTATCTCAGTTTCAATCCCCATGTTAAAGGTGGCCCTTTTCCTTTAAGGCTGAGCTGGTTGGAGCTGATTGGTAAAAAACCAAAGCCTCGCCGCGGGTGGCTGTATTGTCGGATAAGAACGCATTCCTGGGATAAGGACGCATTCCTGGCGTATTTTCTTTTAAAATTGCCGATAACTACGAATGGAGGCCGAAATCGGCCGTAAGGAGGTAGACAAGTAGGTTTTTCGGACACGGGCTACAAGATGGCTATCTCAGTTTCAATCCCCATGTTAAAGGTGGCCCTTTTCCTTTAATGATTATGATTGTTGCCCGAACGAATGAATAAGTGAATGTGGAATAGTTTTGAATGTATTTGGTAACTTGGTAATTTGGAATGTAGTTGGTAACATTCAGAACTATTCTACATTCAATTCCCAGTAAACATGCCGACGTCGGGCCGAGGCTCGGCCCGACGTCGGCCCAACGTCGGTTCAACCTCGGCCCGACATCGGCTAGACGTCGGGTATGCCCGCATGTTCCGACGTCCAGCCGAAGTCCAGCCGACGTCGAGCCGACGTCGGGCCGAGGTCGTTTGCCGAGGTTGACGAGATCGTTTGTCGTTGGACCGACGGGGCTGACGTCGGCATGTTTACTGGGACAACACGCCAAAAGAATCAGCAGGCGATGGGATTCGAACCCCATGTCATTTGAACGCGAGGCTAGTGCGCTAACCACTACACCACGCAGCCCAAATAGCGAGGTTAGTTTGTTTTGTTGGGTTATGCCCTTTCGGTTTGACAAGACCATTTCAGAGCCGGAAGGATGATAGGATGGAGACATTGGTCTTCTTGGCGAGCACCCTGGGTCCAGTTCATATAGAGTCCCTGGTCCCATTGCTGTTACGTGACACTTATTGGAAAGGGCGACCCCACAATGGATTCGTATAGCCACTCTTACACACCTGCACCAACGTTTCTCAAAGTGTCCCTTTGATAAGTGGCACTTTGGCAAAGTGACACTTGCCGACTGGCCTTTCTATTTGAACTGGGCCCGGCCCTGGTGAGTTGCTGGGGCTGAGCCTGACCAAAGGATAGGCCGAGCAGCCCCCAAGCACTCACCGCACCCGGCTACGGGCGAGCTTGGCTTACAGGCAATCCCAAATGGGATGAAGTTTCCCGTCCAGTCCGGATCAGGTGGTTGCGGCGTGGAGGAAGAATGAAGATTTGAGTTTCCTGAGGATATTTTGAATACAGAAGCTCTTTATGAAACATGAAACATGTATTTTATATTATTATTTACGGTCAAAACAGCGGCCGATGTCGGTCCGACGTCGCCCCGACGTCGGCTGGACCTCAGCAATTGATCTCGGTCCGACGTCGGCTGGACCTCGGCTTGACGTCGTTACATGCGGGCATATCCGACATCCAGCCGACGTCGTGCCGAGGTTGGACCGACGTCGGCATGCCGATGCCGAGATGCCGACGTCACCCCGACGTCGGGCCGACGTCGGCATGTTTACTGGGTTATGCATTCGTTCAGGCAACATTCATAATCATTAATGCTATCAAAATCATTGGACAAGATAAGCTGGTTATAAAAAAGGATATATTTGATATCAGTGCCGTCAACTCCGGCCAGTGCTGCCAAATCCTATTTACGGCATTGATAAGATTGGGCCCTGGATCGGGGATCCGCCAGTGGGGTCAGGTGGCCTACCATGCTTACAAAAAAAAAAAACCATCGTATCAGGGCTATGACGAAAAATAAGTGGCCTAAATCCGATGAGAAAACAGGGTTTGGGGGTACCCTAGGTTTGGCTCCGTTACCTGGTATGCCCCCCCCCCCGCGCTGAAACCCTGGATCCGCCAGTGATATCACACTAATACACTAAGATTCGTGTTCGACATTTACTTATTAATAGACAACTCTGAACTCAGCTAGGGTAATTACAGGGAATTATGGGCAACAAAAACAGCATCAACGTTTTACCTATTCTAATTTCTGAAATTCGCACCACTTGAAGATACAATCTTCTTGGAACCGACGAATGAAGTTACCTCGCATGTCTATCGCTTGAAACAGAAACGTGCGCAGGTAGAAAGGCGCTTACCTGTAAACAACGCTCAGAATCAAAACCAAACAATTTTCCTGGACGGGTGTATTACCATGAATCCGATAGTTTCACAGGATGCACATTAACAAAATGGTGATGATACTGACAACACGGAATGAGCCCTAAGGTCCCCAGCCCAACAGCAGTCGACTGAGACTCGGTGCGCCGACCACCCAAGCGACGAGTAGCATTCAGCGGCAGGGCCGGCACTGCGCTGGCACTGCCGCCCGGTACCGGAGAGTCCCACTACTTCTCCGATGGCGCTCAGAGGCCGGCCGCCGGTTCCTCTGAGCCGCCGCCAGCTCGGCGGTATTCCGGAATCTGGGGAGCGGAGCTGTAACCGCCGGACCGAACCGCCGCGCGCCGCCCACTAGCTGATGAGGCCCAGGTAGTCGTCCATCAGTGTGCCGATGGCGAATATGTCGCTGGCGTCCACTCGCGTGCCGACGATTTTTAGCCGGATCTCGTCGTCTTGCTGGATCATGACCTCCTCGTCCTGGGTCTTGTAGCAGGGCGGGTTCGAGTTGGGGTCGAACACCATGTCGCTGGGGATCGAGTGGCGCGACACGAAACAGCTCAACGGGCCGATCTCCGTGAACAGGCCCACCTTGTTCACCTGCAGGCAGACGACACGGCCAGTGACTAGCACACACGGACATCAGCAAATCCAGTCTAGCACACACGGACATCGGCAAACCCACTCTAACACATACGGAAATCGGCAAATCCAGTCTAACACACACGGACATCAGCCAGTACAGGGTGTCCTAAAGTTCATTCTCACCTTATATTTGCATGTAAAACAGAGTATATTGCGTTTTGATATGTTTATGACCCCTCAATGTGCTCCCCATTTAATGAGCAAACACATGAATACATGCTGCGGCATGCCAACCGACATGTTTGGCTGCATAGCAGGCTTGAATTTAGCCCGGACTGACTTGACATGCGCCGTGAGCTTCTCGAGGCTGGAACAGTGCTTCGCTTCGACGAGCCTCAATTTCAGTAGGTATAACCAGCAAATTTTTATGAAATTTAGATCCGATGAGTTGCCTGGCATGTGATCTTGCCACAAACGCTTGTCACAGTCTCCTTGCACCACTTATAAGCTTTGCTTGATCTGTGTACTGATGCACTGTCTTGCTTGAAGATGGGACTATGACCTCAAGTACGCAATTTTCTCCTTCAAACTGACTGTTTCGACTGTTTTTAGTCCTCCATTAAGTCTTAAGCCCAAGTGATCGTGAGTTATGTACCCCGAAAGGATACTCTAAGGCAGCTGGTTATCAATCCTGAAAAGTCTACTTACCAACTTTCTAACCCTTTGACCTTTTTGATGGCCACTCTGGCGCCACACAGTTTTGGCCATTTGGCTCACCCCTGAAGGCTGACTGGAGAGGACAAACTTGCAGTGATTGACTGCCGACAAATCATCGGCGTCACTTGCTGACTGTGCGTCCAGTTAGCGATGGACATTGGCTACAGACTGGATGGCCTCAATCACCCTCAATCGTCCCTAATGGCCCACGTGCTAATTAAATACCGAAACGTACCTGTATCGGAGACCTCTATGTTGCGGGCGTTAGCCGTCTCTATATGAAGTGGACTCTCTAGCAAAAAAATATTTTGTCTAGAGAAATTAGGTTCTGTGGAGCATATTGCAAGTTGCCATGGCAACCCCATAAGCTCAGTTACGAAATAAATTCAGCGTACCTTTAAATACGAGAGCCTCTAAAAGAAAAATTTAGGTGAGAACGAACTTGTGGGACAATCGGCCCCTCACACAGACGGACATCGGCAAACCGAGTCACACACACACACACACACGCACGCACGCACGCACGCACGCACTGAAATCAAATCCAGCCTAACACACACCGGCATAGGTTAATCCAAATCCAGTCTAACACACAACGACATAGACAAATCCAGTCAACACACACAGACATCTGTAACTCCATTGACTCACGCACGGACTTTACGAGGGATGTCCGGAGTCGGACCAGAGTCAGAGTTGATTTTAACTGCTCTGAGTGACAGCGGAGCCGGAGTCACCGAAAATACATAGACTCCGCAGCCCTTAATACCTAATACACCAGGCCATCGAACAAAATAGCTGTGTAGCTATTGGCACAGCTGGCAATTAAGTGAGTTGCTTATCAATGGAAATAGGTTTCAATGTCTGCAATGTCCGGCAGCGTAGAAGCCTCTGCCTGCCGTCCCATTCCATTACCTGTGTGACTACTGCATCGAGGACCTCGCCTTTGAACGGTCTGAACACAATGGCCTTGTACTTGACCGGGTAGACGACGAAGCCGCGGCCCGGCTGGATGCGACCGGCGCCGATGTTGTCGATGGTCGTCACCGAGATGACAAAGCCGTACTTGCCCGTGCACGTGCCTTCCACCTGCGGAGCGCCGCGTCAGCGATCACACTGGTCTTTGGGGAAAGGGGCGAGGCGACCTCAGACACGGACTCTTCCCATTTATTGTATTTCAACAATTGCCTGATGTCGTTTGGGTTTGCATATCAAGCATGATATTGGATTGCCCTGTCGAAGGTGTGCTAATACTTGCACGCAAACTCTGGAACTCATCATAGGCGGCGAAAAGGGGGGGGGGCACCGGGGCACCGTGCCCTCCCCCCTTGATTTTGCCATTTTAACATTAGCCCTACTGGCGTTGCATGGAAAGAATGGGACCAAAAGTCGGCAGTGTCCCCCCCCCCTTAACCCTCGCCCATGTAGGGGGGGGGGGTTGGTGCAACCCCCCCCCCTGAAGTTTTTCTTAGCTACACGCCGAACCGTTTCAGATAGCCAGCTCAAATTTTCAGTACCCTTTGGGGCATCCTTTGCGCAACTTTTGGTAAAAATTGTTTGCCAAGGTCATGTCAGGTCACGGAGTTATGACGTCATAAAGGGAACAACCTCCGGCCAGATTTACGCTAAATTGGAGATTGCTTCACAATGGTATAAATGCCGATTGACCTGACACACTGATGGATTGTTTTAGAATCATAACTGGCTGATTTGACATTGGCACAATGTCCGTTGACCTTTTCAAGGTTACTAAAGGTCAAAGTCAGGTCAGTGACCTCGGTTGACCTGTAATGACTTCTTGCACTTGTATGCCTTTTCGGGGTATTTTGATGCCCTGAATTCGAATTTGCTAGGGTAGTGTGGGGTAATTTGAACATATTTTTACGTCTTCTCCGTTGTACCAAATTCCAGCTTAACCCTGGATGAAGAAAAACTGCTTCAGTAGCGCAAGTGTCACTTGCTTTCACCATGCAAGCCTCATTTTTGGACGAGCCGAGCATGCCTTGAAAAGCATAGCCTCACTTCTCCACCAAGTCGCGGTGTGTTCAAATGGCCCCACCGTGGAGTAATTTGAACATACTGCCTTTATCTGTCATAAAAACGATAGTCTCGCCAACACCGATGTTGTTTGACCCATAAACAAATAGGCAGAACAATTCTAAACATACATTCACTTGAAAAATCAACACAACAAAAATAACAGTTGCAGAGTATCAATATCTGCACACTGCACACCGGTCAGTTGACAGAATTCGCCTGTCTTCAATTAACAGAACGTCTATCATTTTTGTTCGATAAAAACTCTCCCATCCTTACTGCATCTGTTATAGTGGTGCCAATCGAAACCTGGACATTTGGAGTTCTGATTTTGTCCAATGTCCAATTCGGAATTGGTAGGACAAAGGTAGCAGACTGGACAACATTGGACGATGGCTTGCTACACTTCAGCGCTTTTTATAAAGTAATCGTGCATAGCATTGATTGGCGAATGGAAAGCTTGTTAAGCTCTCAATATAATGAACACTTTTCGGCTGGTAAAAGTACATTATAAGCAATTTAAATGACAGTTTTGAGTGTTTATTAATGCGTAATTTTCGGACATGTTTGGACAAATGGCTGACTTTAACATTTTTGAACGGAAATCAACAAAAATGCCGGACATTAGACGGACATTAGACGTAAATTTTATAAAACTGGCATCACTTATCTGCTACTGCTTTGGGTCGAAAATATTGGCAAAAAAAAAGCTGGGAGCGTTGTTTTTTTTTCGGAGCTATCCCTGTCTGGATTGAAATTCCTACACTATGTTCAAATTACCCCACGCTAAAAGTTATTTTGCCATATTTAAAAACAGGTTTCAAAAGCAAATTTCTTGTATTGAAGGCACTGATTAGGTAATTGTACAACAAAAGCCGTTGCGTATTAGGCGCTAGCAATGCAAGATTTTGCGCTGCAATGAAGTTGCAATGACGTGTTTTTAGGCGTTTTTACTTGCGAAAATGATTTTTTACAGTGTGCGTCAGCATCTTCATTCCATGAAACTTAAAACCCCGTTCATATGATAGCCCTTTTAGTTACGATAATTTCCCTCATTGGTCATATTGTCATGCCACTTATGGATTTTCCGTAATTTTGTGTTTTTCACACTATGTTCAAATTGCCCCACATGTTCAAATTACCCCACCCTACCCTATCCATTTCAGGCATCGTCAGTTGTTTCTTGTAGTTCATTTTGGGTCAGGGTCAGGTCAGTGACGTCACACGCCTGACGTGACCCAATGCACAAATGACCTTGCAGACTTCCGATGCTCCCAACGCATCATTTTTAGAGTTATGACATCGAAATACACACCAAACGATAGAGAATTGATCAAGGATCACGATAGTGAAGGTTTCAAGTCGATATCTCTTACCGTTTTGCCGCAATCGGCGCGGAAATCTGAAAAAGTTAGATTTTTCCGAAAATTTAACCTTTGACCGGTCATAAGTAGGTCAAATGTTGACCTAGGACCAAAAAATATACCACCAATCGCGAGATCTAGTTGAGAGCAATCCGTTGGTCTTTTCCGCTAAGCTCTACGACGCTCCGTTTTCAAACGCCAGGGGGGGGGGGTCGCACCCCCCCCCCCTGCATGGGCGAAGGTGGCAAAACGCCGTTTACGGGCGAGGGTTAAAATGAAGGTGTTCCGCCGCTACTGGAACTCATCCGACAGGCTTAGCAATTATCAATGGTCAATCAAGGGCGTCGCCGACGGGGGGGGGGGGGGTCGCGGGGGTCGCGACCCCCGCGGTCATGTCATGTCCTGGTCATGTCTCATGTCCTGACCGGAAAAGAACCTGCTGCATATGGATCGATCCATGTTGCTTAGCTGAACACACTCCAGGTGCTGTCATCGCTCTAAAGCGTCTCCATCAAAAGTTGTTATCGAAAATGTGTTAGAGACCTTTGATGACCTGATGACTGACCATTCGAGTCACCACTGGTCATTAGCTGCACCTTGTCTCTAAAATGAGCAGAGGTGCCATGGCTACAAAAGTATCTAGCGTTTTTAGCATATTCGTTCAAAGCAGAAGGCATTCGTGCATTTTCCCATATCTTATCATGATTGGTGAAGTCACATATTTGACCTGACTTCACTTCTCAGATTAAAATCCCAGATTCATGAACTGTTGGCACTTATAATCCCATTCATTATACCAAATTTCAGGCTTATAGAAGATACTCTATAGGAATGACAATATTGCAATTTTTAGATGCATTAAAACTGAACTTGACATAGCATTGTGACCTGACCTCAGGTGACCTGTGCTTGATTTATATGCACGATGCAAAAGTGATGTACAATAAGATATACCGCTGCTTTCGTGGCGCTGCGCGCCGAGGTTTTTCTCAACACACGAAAAAAACCGGAAGTGTGGCTAAAACACCCCTACTCATCAAGACGAAGACCGGAAACCCGACCCCCCCCCCCCCCACTCAAAAATCCGTGGCAACGCCCCTGTGGTCAATTTTGCATTTAAGCTCAATCGACACATTCTTACCTCTGAAAATAGTTTTTGTTTGACAGTCTCCAGCAGTTGTGGTCCGAAGTAGCGAGGATGCAAAAGAATTTCATGCTCCAGAGATATGTGAAAAAACATTGCAGCAGCTCCTGTAATAAATGCAGTTACTCTTAGTAATGTCGCTTGCTTTAACTTGGTTGACACGATAAGGGGCAGCATTTTTGCGTAGGTCGCATGCACCGATTTTTTAACGCACCGATTTCTTAGGCACCGCTACTATCTCAAAGGTATCGGTGCAGTAAGGGGGGGTCTCCATCTGTTCCAACTCCCAGTCGCGGCTGGGCTGAACAGTTTGAGAGGCACTGAAAGTACTGACCGATGTCTGTGGGACAAAATCGCAGTGAGCTCCTGACCTCAATCGCAGCTTTGTCAGTGACATTATTGGAAAGCACGAAAGTCGATCTGTTGGCATGGAGCCTTGCCTCCAAGGCATTTGGGATACGGCTGCCAGCCCCCTATTACTGGTGGGGGGGGGGGCAAATCGACCCCCACCTGTAGTTTTTTTTTTTTTTGCTCTCGACGGAAAACCACTCTAGCTAGGGGCTTGAAATTTGGTGACTTTTCCTTGCCATTCATTGGGCACATTGTGTCAAATTTTTTAGCTTCTAGCTTGCGCAGAGGCGTCTCCAGGACGAGTTTCTCGGGGGGTAGTTTTGGCCCAGCTTTGACTGTTCCGATATTTGCCGCTAAGCAGCGACTTACTTAGGTTTGTAATGGTGATCAGTGGCGCCCCCCGTCATATGTATGCACCTTAAGACTATGTGACGTCATTCCAAATGAAAATATTGGAAAAGGCGGACCCAGGTACCTGAGAAAGGGTACCTCAATGTACAGTTCATCTCAATGTACTGCCCCCCGTCTTAGCATGCCTGAATCCGCCTATGCTTAACGAAAACGTGTATTTTGTGCTTACGTTGCATATTTTACCTACATGATATATGACATATCATGTCATAAGACACATGACATACAATGACAAAAAACTCAAAACATCATCCCAAGTTAGGTTACCTGAAACCGCCTATGTTTTTGAAATATCCAAAATGCCGGAATATATATGATAGACCAGTTCATGAAGAAGGGTCCCCTGAAGTTTCATCAAAACCGGTCAAAAAATAAAGAAGTCATAGCATTTTTAGTGATAACCCTCGCCGGCTGAGGGGGGGGGCGGGTGCCCCCCTAGGGTTTTTTCGCGATAGCTCCGAACACGTTAGCGATGGAGAGCTGAAACTTGGCATACCTGACCTTTGGTTCAAGCCGCATCTTTTGACACCAACCGCATTTTTGAGTCAGGTCAGGTCACTGACCTATGACGTCATAAGTGAACCTCTGCACGGTCTTCAGATGTCGCAACTTCGCAACGCCCTCACTGCCAGAGGAGATGTCACAGGGAAATGAAACTTGCATGATCTAGTATCCATTATGAGTCCCACAACCTGTATATCTCGAATTTTTCCTAAAGGTCAATGAGGTCAGGTCATTTTCGTGACCTCACCATTATAAGTCAATGGGGAAAATGAAAACTGCTCTTCTGGCGCCGGGAACGATCTCCAACTATCTCAAGCACACAGAATCGTGATTTGATGCGCTCCTTGCAAGGTGAAATCCTCCTTTTGCACCCTAGGCTCAAAATTGAAGTAAAACCACACCAAATCATCAAAAACCATTTATCAACCCAGACAATGTTTGCACTTTGCACAATCATATAATACTAAAAAAAAAATCAGATGCACTTCAAGCAAAAATAACAAAACCTTATCTGCCCTGACCTAACTTAACTTGTAACATAGCCTTACCAGAGGGCTGTTCTGGTTCCTGCAGCATAGATCTGTGCTGCGTGCCTCATACTTGGGTGACGTCAGCCTCCTGGCTCCGCCCACTCTCCTGCAGCATGCCGCTAAACTAACGATAAAACCACTGAACTCTATAATGTGGAAGGCGCATCGGCCGCCAGATGGTGTCCAACGGTGCCGCCATGTTGCGCAGACCAGGAAGCGGCCGCCGCCTGTTTTTTTTTTATAAATTTTGTCCGAACCTTTTGATAGGAAGGATTCACAAGGACAGAGCCACCACTAAGCGAAGCTTGTTGCGGTGACCCTGCCCTCTACCCTCCGATCGCGCAATTCCAGTTCTATGGCAGAATTTAGAGCCCAAAGTTTAACGTGCGCACATAGCCGCGCACGGCCGGTCCCCTCACTGACTTCATCTGGCTTCGGCCTGCCACCAACCGCAACCATACCTGTCAGGAGGCCCATAAATGTCAAGCGCCCGTCGCGCTTTGAACCCGGACTTTTATAACCGGGAACGCGTGCTCTCACTACGCGGAGTCCAACGCTCTACCAACTGAGCTACGGGACCTGTGTTGGGGAATAGGGAATTCGGGACCTCGATTTACGTTTGCGGTCGCTGCATCCGTTACGTTCAAGCTATGTGGACGCGGAACCCAGCATCTTACGCAGAATTGAGTGGAGAATAAGATGAAATCCTAAAAAAAATCCTCAGATACAAGGAACTAATACGCTAAACCTTTATAAGTCAATGGGGAAATATGAAAATTGCTATTTTGGCGCCGAGAATGATCTGAAACTATCTCAAGCATATAGAATCATGATTTCATGCACTCCTTGCAAGGTTCTATGCTTCATATTTGCATTGTTGCCCTTGCGTGACGTCATTTGTGACGTCACAAGGGTCACAGTTTTTCTTCAATAACTCCCGATCAAATTGAGCTAGCGAGTCGGGAAAGCCACCAATGGACTCAGGAAGACCTGCCGAATCGAATGATATGCGACATGACCTCTTTCGACCAGCTTCGTGACCAGGGGGTGCTGACCTGACCTTGACCTGAGGTCAACACCCTAAGTTGACGTGACCCGAACAAAAAGTATATCATTCGATGCGCCTGAGCTAGCTGAACACGATGATGCCAAAATCGCGGCTCTACGGCCATTTTTGGCGAAGTTATTTACCAAAAACCGAACCCGTGCCTTAGATCACTTGACCTGACCTCAGAGGTCACCGGTTGACCTGAGACCTTTACAGCGGGTTCCTACCAGTCACTCTGCATTATACTTTGTCGCATACGACCACTTTACCGCTTAATTCTAGTTTAATTTGCGGCGCATTAGCGAGGTGGGTTCAATCAACCCCCTCGGCCGGGGCAAATGTAAGTCCGGCGAGTGAATTTGAGGAATTCTGAAGATACGATCGTGTTCCCCACTCAATTCTGCGTAAGATGCCGGGTTCCGTATCTACGTAACTTGAACGTAACGGATGCGGCGGCCGCAAACGTAAATCGAGGTCCCGAATTCCGTATTCCTCAACACAGGCGGCAGCCGGTTCCTGGTCTGCGCAATATGGCCGCCACCGTTAGACACTACGGCCAATAGGGTTGAAGCGGCAGTGCTCCCCTGTGGATAAAACTTACGGTAAGAAATATTGGATGATAAACTTAAATCCGCGCCACTTTTGTCTCCTGTAGCACCAAATTTCCAGCTGCAGGAAAGAGAAGTACCTATGCTTTAGTGGGTGACATCACACAGGCAATGACGCAGTGGTGTGGGCGGGACTAATGGGCGACATAGCCCTCACTGCGCATGCATGCTGCAGCATATTTCATTTTGGCTGCACAGCCGAACAGCCCTCAGACTTAGACTCAACATTGTGGTTCAGCTAAATCAGCATTACTGATGTTTTGTGTAAAAAGTATCATAAGTCATCCATATCTCCTATAAGTCATCCGGGGCTAGTCAAAAACGGCTGAATTGGCATATTCGTCAAAACTTCTATCAGGACTACCAAGCGCTCTTTCCCAGGCTGCAATCAAATCGAGCATCTGTGGCTGGAGATCCCTCTGCGAAACCCAAATCGCCTCCTCATTGGATGCATTTACCGTAGCCCATCTGCCCATGGACCGTCTTCTACGTCTGTTACTGGTTACGGAGTTACTGGAGCTCATCACTAGCTGCACATCTGACAGAAACACCCAAGTGTTGATTGCTGGGGACATCAACTACCCCCAAATCGACTGGACTCACAGCTACTCCACTACCCCTGAGGGCCATCATACACACCAATTTATGGAAGGGCTGCAAGACTGTGGCTTCACACAACATGTCACCAGGGACACACGATACAGGGAAGGCAACAGGTCCAGCGGATTGGACATTATCCTGAGTAACGAGGAGGGGCTAGTCAAAAACCTTGTCTACCACCCACCCATAGGACACAGCGACCATGTGTTACTGAGGTTTGAGACCGTGCACTATGACCAGGGAAGAGAACCAAGGGAGCCCCGGCTGAACCTCAACAAAGGGAACTATGCGCTCCTGAATGATCGGATCAGGGAGACTGTCTGGGAAGTGCCCGATCCTCCGGACCCGCGCACCAGATACAAGTACTTCAAAAGGACGCTGGATCTTCTGACGACTCAGTGTATCCCCAGGTCTCGCCCAACTAATAAGAGACGCAATATCTATATGGACAGGGAAGCTATGCGATTGAAAAAGCTGAAGAGGAAGTTGTGGATCCAGTACACCCAATCCATGGATGACATCTGCCTTGCACGTTACAAGCGATGTAGCAACGACCTGAGACGGCTCACCCGCAATCTAAGGAAGGAACTGGAGAGGAAGCTGGCGGCTGACCTGAAGGTAAACTCAAAGGCGTTCTGGCGGTACTCGGCCTCAAGAACCAAGAGCAGGGCCGGCGTTGAGAACCTCCGCACAGAGTCGGGTCAGCTTACAGTAAACGACGAAGAGAAGACCGCGGTCCTGAACGCATTCTTCAGCTCGGTCTGCATCGAGGATGACCTTCGGCCGATGCCGCACGCCGGGGACGCGTACAGGGGACCAGTAGTAGGGGACGTTGACATCTCAGAGGACCTGGTAAAACAGAAGCTCGCCCAGATCAAGACCTCCTCAGCCGCTGGACCTGACAGCATTCATCCAAGGGTACTCCACGAGACGAGAGACTCAATATCAGCTCAACTAGCAGCCATGTACCGGGAGTCGCTCGATACAGGGATCCTTCCAGAGGACTGGACGTCGGCCAACGTGGTCCCCATTTACAAGAAGGGCAGCAAGGACGACCCCAGCAATTACCGACCAGTCAGCCTGACGCCAGTGCCCTGCAAGGTGCTGGAAGCCATCATCAGGGACAGGCTGATGGAGCACCTGCAGGCAGAGGGCCTGATTACTGAAGCCCAGCATGGATTCCGGCCGGGCAGGTCCTGCGTCACGCAACTGCTACTTTCAGCATAGGACTGGAGCCGTGCTGCAGAACGTGGTGACCCCATGGACATCATTTATCTTGACCTGGCCAAGGCTTTCAACACTGTATCAATCCGCAGGCTTCTCCACAAGGTGGCTGCACATGGAATCCGTGGGAAGCTGCTACGATGGATAGAGGCCTTCCTGACGGGGCGAAAGCAGCGGGTTACGATCGGCAGTTCCTGCTCGGAATGGACCTCAGTCCCAATTGGAGTCCCGCAAGGATCTGTGTTGGCACCTACATTGTTTGTCCTATATGTTAACGACCTGCCAAATGTCCTAAGCTGCGGTGTCAAGGTCTTTGCCGACGACAGCAAATTGTACCAGGTCGTCTGTGACCATGAGGACGCGCGGGCTCTCCAAGCGAACCTGGACGCTGTGACACAGTGGGGTGAGGATTGGCAACTGCAATTTAACGACACGAAGTGCAGGGCCCTCCACGTCGGTCGTCACGTCCACCGGCACGACTAACTTTTGAACGGTGAAGTCCTGCAGACGGCGACAGAGGAAAAGGACCTAGGAGTGATTGCTGACGCGGAGCTGAAGTTTAGGACGCAAGCAGCGGCAGCGGTCAACAAGGCATCTCGAGTGATGGCCGTGATAAGACGGTCATTCAGCCTGCTGGACAAGATGACCCTGCCAATCCTGTTCAAGACGCTTGTGCGACCGCTCCTGGAGTACGGTAACATTGTCTGGGGGCCATTCAATCGAGCGGATCAGCTCCTCATCGAACGAGTCCAGCGCCGAGCGACCAAGCTGGTCCAGGAAGTACGTCACCTACCGTACCAGGAAAGACTGAAGTCTATGAAGCTGCCTTCTCTCCACTACCGACGTCGACGCGGCGACATGATCGCTGTCTACAATGTGCTGCATGGGAGACTGGACCTGAATCCGGAGGAGTTCTTCAACCGAGTAACGACCAGAGATACAAGAGGACACTCCTGGCGTCTTGCGAAGCCTCATGCCGTCACCCGCATCCGTCGAAACGCGTTCGCAGTCAGAGTCATTAACGACTGGAACAGCCTACCATCATCCGTCGTAGACGCCGACTCTCTAAACTCGTTCAAGAACCGGCTCGACACTCACTGGAGACACCTTCACTTCACCCCGCCCCTACCATACGAACAGTAACACTGTCAAACATGAACTCGACTGGAGCGGACACTACAGGCCTTGGGCCTCTCAAAATTTTCTGTGCATCTTAAGTAAGTAAGTAAGTATAAGTTCTGTGTGTGGTCACACTTTTCAGCCTTAGGATATGTTCTTTCTTTTCATGTTCCTGTTCTATGAATTTCATCAGTTTTTAAAGGGTGCCTAAAGGCGAAATCGGTATTAGTATATATTAGGTCCGAGTGGACAATTGTGACGCTGTTGATACAAATATGTAACAGCAAAAAAATTAGGTTTTAATGTTAGGTTAGGTTGTAGGTTTGTAGGTTTCAGGTTGGTAGGTTTGTAGGTTAGGTTAGGTTAGGTTGTAGGTTTGTAGGTTGTAGGTTGGTGGGTTGTAGGTAAATAGGTAAGGTTAGGTCAGGTTTGATTATGTTTTTTCAGGACATATAAGTATCATTTTTGGATTCAGGATGTCAAATAATGTAAGAATATGAAAACTTTATCTTTTTACAGTTACTCGGACTCAATGTATACTTTTACCTCGAAATCAGCTGGGAGAGTGCTTCATAGAGGAACTGGTATTAGTAGAGCAGACGTCACACGAAGGTTTTCCAACAAAGAAAGGCGCTATGCCTGGAGGTAGGTACTTCTTTCTAACAAAACCTAAACAAACCTAACCTAACCTGACCTAGGGTTTGTTCCCGTCGCTCCTCCAACCTCCTCCAAGCTCCTCTAACCTCATCTCGTTTCAAAAAATTGTTCCCGTCGCTCCTCCAAGCTCCTCCAAGCTCATCTTGATTTCACATCTCACCACCACTATTTGCCTCCTCCCTCATCCCAAACGAAAGTTGGATTTTTGGAGGAGGCTCTGCGTAGACACATTTGGCGCACGTAATACAAATGTGAATTGTTTATAAATGAGATTTGAGGAAAGTGGAATTGATTTCAGTGATCGATGAGGATGGGATATCTTTTAATAGTAATGTTCGATATAAACCTATGGTTAATTTATTAGAAAGAAAAAGTTAACTCTAAATTGCTGTTTGCGCGCCATAAATCGCCGACCGTTACAGCCCGCAAACAGCTGATTTCCTCGCAAAAATGTTCCCGTGGCTCCTCTGAAACGGCTCTCCTCCAAGCTCATCCAACCTCATCCGAGATTTTTTGGGAGGAGCGACGGGAACAGACCCCTAACCTAACCTACAAACCTTCAACCTAAAAACCTACCCTACAACCTACAAACCTACAGCGCTTCTCCCTGGTTGGAAAACCTTGGTGTGACGTCTGCTCTACTAATGGAAACTTGCCTGCGAGGAACTTGCCTGATGTCAATGTGCAGAAAAAACACTGAACCCAAGGCGCTGAACCTGTCCGTCCTCAGATTTCTGTGCAAAAGACTTGGGTCCTGACTTCCTCTAATCCTGAGGTACAATCTTGGGCAAGGCTATATAAATTTTGGGTACAATCGCTATTACAGTGCCTTATAGGACTAAAAACGGTTCAATCAAATATGTGTGAAAGGCAATGTCAAAAGCGACCAAATAACAGCAGAAACAATGCGTGTCGATCACAGAACTCTATTATAATCAATGCCATAGAAACCAAGGCCATATAAGTTAGAACTGGTTAGAACATACCTACGGCCTTGATCAAGGCTATAGCCACGGTGACTATAAATGGCAATAGGAAGGCCCTATATACCGGCTATAGAACGATTATATGTAAAGGTTTGATATATACCCTGGGTTTGATGGTGTTGATCGAAATTCAAGCCAAGATACCTATAAGAAACCATAAGAAACTGCCGGACCATTTTTGTCGACAGACATTGCGCTGTTGATAGATGCAGTGGCGCAGCCTATTTAACTGCAATATTTTAGGTTATAAATATTTGGCATATGTTATTCTAAATGGTGGGTACCTAATATTACCTTACCTTACCTTCAAGGTGTTCGGGTTAAAGAAGGCCACTTGGCCAGGGGCGTCGACACTGGTCCGACTTTTCCGACTAGTCGGACCACTTTTTCGACTAGGCGGTGCCCTGCTGTGGCTCGCGGGGGCCCCTGCTGCCAGGGCCTCGTCTAAGGAATTTTCACTGGGGGGGCAGAGACTGAAGGACCCAAACCTAGGGTACCCCCAAATCCTGTTTTCTCACCGGATTTAGGCCACTTGTTTTTCGTCACAGCCCTGAGACCAATATTTTTTTTAACAAAAAAAAAAAAACAAAAAAAGAGCCATGCTCGTTCGTATAGGGGGGGGGGGGGGTCGAACGGACCTTCCCCGGTTTTTCACGAATAACTCACGTAAAAGCGGCTGACCGCGACGAAACTTTCAGTACCCTCGCGTTAGTCAATTTTACACTTACTCTGAAAATGTCATGACCCTGACCGTAACGACCTTTGACCTGTGACTTCTTTTCGAGACCATATTTGGCCGGAATCGCGATTCGGCGTATGTCGGCTCGCATTAGCCGCGCGTTTGCAGTCTTTTCGTGGTTTCAAGCGTTCAAACATGGAATATGATATTGCTCCCATGCATTAGGGTAGGCGTCAAGGTCACCGCGAGGTCAGGTCAGGTCATTGGCTTTTGATGACTTTGGCTCACTTTTTCGAGTTTTACATGATTCTAGGCCAGTTTTTGGAGCTGAATTCGAATTTAGCAACCATTTGAACATTTACGAAGTAGTTTTGGTGCCTTCGTAACATGTTACGAAGCTGTCAGAGCCAGAGGTGGTTGCCACCTACTACGAATACCCGGCAAAACCCTTACTGGTTGACCTGACCTGACCTGACCCGACCTGGCCTAAATGCATGAAGACATTATCTGTGATAATTAACTAACATGATATTCGTGATCAGCACCCGAAAAAAAACATAACAGCCACCCTTTACCACGTTGTAACAGGTCCCGCGATTTTCCCGACTTTAGGGTCATAGACCTGACCTGGAAGGTCAACTGAAGACTAAGGACCTTAAAATGAGGCATCATCTGCTTCCTCTCGTGACAGGCAACACGGTGGTTTTCTCCGCGAAGCTCTAGCTCGATCAGGGGCGAAACGGCAAGAGGCAAGGTCCAACGCCCCTTCCCCCCCTATACGTTCGCGGCTGGAAAAACACCAATACGGGCGAGAGTTAAGAGTAATGTGTTACCCCCTCACATTGCCCCACCAGACAGTGCTAAACATATTTTTCCGTGTTGGGCCGTGGGCGTTTGATTGAGTGGGAGGGGGGGGGGGCACAAACACGAGTTGGGTCACTGGCAGCTGCCAATTGACAATTTGCTACTTGAATCGCAGTAGCAAAATCACAGAATCACAGTGGATACTCAGCTCTATAAATCACAAAACTCTGGCTTTTCCCGTAGTCTTGGAGTATGAACAGTTTTTGAGCAAATAATTTAACGTTTCTCGTTAAATTCGTATAAGACTCCTAACAAAAACGCATTGCAGAGAAGGTAATTTTGTGAGAAGTTCACGTTTTGACTGGGGGGGCAAATGTTGGCCACTGGGGGGCAATCCGCTCGACTGGGGAGGCAATTGCCCCCCCCAGTTAACATGTTAGACGAGGCCCTGCCTGCTGCAGACCGCGGGGGCCCTACTGCGGCTCGGGGGGCCCTGCTAGAGACCGCGGGGGCCCTGCTGCGCCTCTGGGGCCCTGCTAGACACCGCGGGGCCCTGCTGCGGCCCGCGGGGTCCCCTTCTGCGGCCGCGGGGGGCCCCTGTTGGGGCTCTCGGGGGGGCCCCTGCCAGGGGCCCCTGCTGCGGCCACGGGGGACCCTGGGGGCCCCCACCGGTGGGAGCCCCCCGAGAAAAAGTCGGACCAGTTTTCCTTACGCGTCGACGCCCCTGCTGACTTGGCCTAAGGATCCCGCTCTCATCGAGCTCGGGAGGACAAGGGCGGATCCAGGGGGGCCAAAGGGGCCATGGCCCCCCCTTTGGCGCTGATGTCCGTGAAGGACATGCGGCATGTCCGGACATGCGGCGCTGAAAGGGGGGGCCAACATATCTTTTGCCCCCCCCCCCCCTCTCATCCATGTTCTTTCTCACAGCCGGCCAATTTTTTTCAGAATTATTTTCACCATTTTCATCGACGCTAAGGCCGAACATCAACCTTTTTTGTCATAGGTGGGTAAATATGAACAGGGAATAGGGATTTACGCACGAACGCAATTTGGCGTGCTGGCAACCAGCTTATGCAGCACAGACGACTTTATTCTCGACTATGTCCGTTTGGCTGTAACTGCAGGGCGCCGAGGCTGGCTCGCTGGCTTCTATTTGTCCATGTTTTGCTGGAAGGTAGCCCAAAGATCCTCGAGCAGGATTAGGGTCCGGATGGTAGCCGGTTAATTTCTTCAGAATTCCGGCAGGTTCGATTCGGACAACCACCTGGACCTTGGCAGAGCAATGAGCTGGCGCGCCGTCCTGCATGAAATTGCATGCTGACCTGCCATTGACCGTCGAGGCCATGCGTCGACTCAGAACTGAGCCGCTGGAGGCTATTGTTGTTAATGAGCCTCAGTGAACTCTTCTATAGCGTGTCATGGTCCTGTCTGGAGATGGGAGCAGCTTTGCCAAATTATTCACCAATTTGCCACTCTTCCTGGCCGCCATTTCAATGCGATTTCCTCCCCGGGCCAAATGGTGGGCGAATGCCCGATCTCGGACAATCAGCAACACTGCCAGCAGTCGTATGCTTATCCCACCAGTGCGGGACTGTGCAGGCAGATGTCCCAACTGACCAGCAATAACACGCTGTGTTATTTTGGCCTGAAGCATGTCGACTATCTGGTTCAGCTCCCCGAGATTGAAATTTATTACCTTCATTTTGCCTTCATTTTGCGACGCGGCCATTCGGGGGAGGGGGGGGGGGGGCAATCTATCTGTGTATAACTGGCAGTAGCTCGGTGACCCATGATCCGAGGTTCGGTCGCGACCTCATGTTCCGCGGCCAAGGACCGTGCAATGCAGAGGTGCAGCCAAAATATTTATCTCTTAGGGGCAGAAACGATTAGAAACCGCATAAGTGTTGTCCTTTAGGTAGAGGACAACACTTTTGCCGGACCCTGCATAAGACCACCCTGCAGTTTCCCTTCAACCGGCTTTGATCCAGCAAAAATAGTCACGCGTTAGCCTCTCTACTTAACCCGCGCCAGGCCGGTCCTCGGTGCCAACCGCTCCGTGTCTGAACACCCCTCTCCTTCTAACTCGGCTCCTGGGTCACGTAGCGTTACGCGGAAAGCGGCATTCGAAAGAGCTTCGAAAATCAAGACAAAAGCAGTCATTTCTTAAGTCTGGTCAAAGGTCAGGTCACCAGACCAGAGAACATCAAAGGAAAAATCTTGCCTATGTCAACACATTTCGAAATACTGGCGCATATCTCAAGAACCAACAGAGCTGCAGCGCCGCAGAAAAACGCATTCGATAGCCTTTCAACGCTTTTCCTAAAGACATTGCTAACATTTGACCTCAGGTCAACGGTTTAGCCGCCAGATGGTAAAATTGAAAGTATCTGCTTTTACGAACAATGTTTTTTTTTTAAATAACTTTTGACTCAAGAAACGTCGAAATCTCTCTTCGAGATGGCTCGAATGAACTATAATTTGGTCTTAAAAGGTCAAAAGGTATTTTGAAAAATTTGACCTTGGGTCAAGAAAATGACCTGATCGGAATAGCTCATTTTGCATATCATTAGATCCCTATTGTCGACCTGAACAAATCAAATGTGTTTTCATTGCTCTAGCATGTCTCCATAAAAGTGTAGGAGGGCGGCTCCTCCTCCCGTGCCGCCGCCTTGCTCGGGCGGCTATATGCTGACACAGTGGACTGCCGCTCCGAGACTGTGTCGGAAGTGGGACTCTGCCGCTGCAAGCGCCCGCGGCCGCAGGTCACGCGCCGTGGGCTATATGCCGAGCTATGAGGCGACGGCTTGTGACACTTGACAGTGTGGTGGCGGCTGCTGATTGGCTGGCGCTGCGACGCCAGGGCAGCCGCCGATTGGCTTCCCCTCGGGAACCTTCTGTACCTGAAGGTCGTCTGAAGGTCATTCTGGAGCCGGGGGCATTGAGACTGGAGCTGGGGAACTGAAACTTGGACTTGAACTGGAACTTGGACTTGGCTTTGAACTGGTCTTGGTGTTCAGAATATACTTTGACTATGTTTTACGTTTAATCGATCCACGGCCATGTCTACAAAAGTTATTGTCAAAAAACTGTTGATTTGGCTATTTGATTTGGCTGATGACCAGGAACACAATGACAGTGACACCATTTTTAAGCTTTAGCGTCATTGTGTGCCAAGTTATTGGCAAAAACGTCATTTGACCTCAGTTGACCTCATTTGACCTGACCCATGGATAAGTACACCAAATAAAGAAGCACCAAGTGACATGCTGTTAATGTACTGTGGTTTCAAAGCACAAAAGTGATAGAACGAAGCGGATATATCCAGTATCGTCCGAATTGAATATTTTCCCATAGGCTTAAAGGTAGTGTGCCACCTTCCAATGATTTCCCATTTTATTTTTCCTAGGATAAGAAGCTTCTGTTTTTACCTAATATCGCAAAAAAAAAAATCAAAAATGGGCCTGGAATAGTGCCTTTTTCGCCTAAAAGTTTATCGGTTTTTCGATATGTAAAACAACTGTAGTGGGCTGACCTGCAAACAGGCGTCGGCAACAATCGCGAATGCGGCGCACATGTGACAATAAGCAAAGGTCATTATAGAGTTACGACGTACGGGAATGAGTTATCAGGTGTCTAATCGTAGAGAACACAATGTCGAACCTT